TTTAGTTTATTATACATTAAAGATGCTTCACTTAGTTTCTCAAATTATTTTCTTTCGAGAAACTATTTGATAAAGAAAAATATTTTCACAGGTTTTATTTATTTGCGGGTTCTTAAAACGGGTCTTTTTTACAAGAGTGTCGCCACTTCCTAAACTATGGAATAACCATAATTAAGGTTAAGGAGTTTGGCTTAGTTAATAGCTTTACTAACAGGATTTTTTTATTTACTGGACATAAAGAAGCACAAAAACTAAAAAAATCACCTAACCTAACCTAACCTAACTGTGGGTTTCCCACAGTTATATACTGGTGGCCCATCTTCTGAAAAGGCCCTATACTTCCTTGTGGATTCAACTATATATGAAAGTCTATAAAAGTTAATTACTGCGAATAAGACCGAAAGTAAATAAAACTGGAAAGTTTATTTGAGAGTTTGATTAAAGCGGTTCACTTTTATTACATTGCTAAGTTTCCTCCGCTCCTCTCTTACTCTGGTCCCAGTTGTGTTTTATTTGGTTTTTCGTTGTGACTTTGTACACTAATATCGGAAATTGTGGTATTTTGAGTGAAGCAAAATCAATGGTTTTTTTTTCAAAATTCACCATAACTACGTAACTATATAAGTTTAAAAAATATAGATCTACTGCTCCTTTTAAACCTCAAATCAAGTGTGATCAATTGTATACACCAATGAAGACTTTATGGAAATAGCCTAGTTTAAATGAAACTGATTTCCAGTAATGCAATAATTTATCCCAGTTTGTAAGTTGGTGTATTCCCTTATCACTATAATACAGCAATACAAGTTCTAAGTTCGCTAAATTATAAACTAATGTATGCAAAAGTCCCTTGAGGACTTTGGTGAAATCAGTTTTCCGTAATGGATTAATTGCCAGTATTCGCTCAGAAATTTAATCAAGCGTGTAAATTTGTGTATATTTAACCAACACGAAAAAAGGATGCCGTAAGAAATACGTTTCCCTAAATTAGAAACCATATAACTATTTTTCGATTGAAATCTTCATAGAATTCACTACCTAGTTTTTTTTATTTCAAACTTCATCTACCATCTATAACTGAGTAATTGTTATACATCACAATTCATGGAGATTTTATGTAAAAATTTATTAGTTTAACTTGGTTGCAAGTTCGTTAAATTGAAAACTAAAATATTCTGAATATCCTGGTCTGATTAATTACCCTCTAAATTTACTGATTAAATACTTTTTATTTATAAATTCAATATATATTCGAGTAAAACTGTACTTTACGTTAATACCTGTACGTAATAAATGGTTTGCAATGTTTGTGTTTAAACAATGAGCGTAAGCTCGTATTTCCTGATGTATATTTCTTTTATGATTTATAAATGCTGTATTGATATAATAGAAGGTTATTTTATATTTTAATTAAATCAATGTAAGGTATACAATACATGTATACTAATCATAAACATGTTAAAAAGTTGATACAAGTAATTTGAACAGGTAAAATAAGAGTTTTATAAACAACAAAATTTTTACATTCATGAAATTTCACCCGTGAGACATTAATTATATCATGAATGAAAATCCGATGAGTCCCCAAAATTTTGAGCATCCTAAATCCCTTTTTGGGACCCTTTTTGTTCGGAGGACAGTAACTTCGAAATAACGTTATTTCTACGTTTAAGGTCGAGTGAGGTGTGGTTTTCGATGGTTTTAGTTATTTTAAAACGATTTAGACTAGTTTTAAGTGTGTTAAACCACTCCATACAGGGTCTTCAACAAATATTATTAATTTTTACCGATATTTAAACATTTATTCATAAAATAATAAAATTAGGTACCTCAGTGCTCTAGATAAATGAGGATTGTTGAAAATAAATGTAATTTTTTTTCACTACATATGGGGAAAGAACCGCAAGGAGTAAGAGGAAATCTTAACCACCCCCACCACAGCAAACCTGCATACTAAGCGAATGTCCATGCCTGAATTGATTTTCAATTAAATATATTTAAATAACATTACGTTTAACGAGTACCTAGGTTCGCTATTACAAGGAGGCTTATAAACTGTGTTTTTTTAGTAAGATATCAATAACCTTGTATAAAACAAATAAATTTGACAAGTTTAATATCATTAAATTAAAAATCATGTTGTGGTCAAATAAAACTATAACACAAGCGAATATTTTAAGTATTTAAAAACACTGTTTGTTGTACATTTAATTTGTCTGATACAACTTAAACTCAATTAAAAGAGGTTTTTTAAATTCAATTTATTATTTCCAAGAAAATAAATCCACAATCTTTTAAAATTATTTTACAAACCAATAAATAAAAAAACATTTAATTAAAAAAATAATGGAATGTCCAGATGGATTCAAGTATATGTAACTCTATAAAAGTTAATTATTGCGAATAAAAACCAAAGTAAATAAAAGTGGAAAGTTTAGTTGAGAGTTTGATTAAAGCGGTTCAGTTTTATTACATTTCCAAGTTGCCTTCGCTTTTCACTTCTCTCTTACTCTGGTCCCAGTTGTGTCTTATCTTTTGGTTTTCACGTTGTTGCTATGCACATGTTAATCAGAAGTTAACCATTTTAACTTCATTAAAGTGTTCGTATTCCTGAACGCATCCTATTCCACGCAACACTTAGTTAGTGTTACTGAATTTGTTTTGATTAAATGATATTACCTTTTGAAATGGGGACGCCACCGTTCTTCTGAAAAAAATACCTAAACCTTTCCACTTATAGTAAATAAAAGACTTTAAGATTTTAAATCATCTTCTTCGACGGTCCATCAATCTAAATGAATTTCACCTTAACATCCAGTCATCAAATTAAACTTACAGCACTATACTTACTTGACTTGTGGCACTGCTGGTTTGGTCGTCCGGGTTCTGATACCACCAATACTCTAAGGGTTGAAACTAAGCGATAATGTGTGGTCCAGTGGTTTTGAAGAGACATTATACTCTGTATAATTGAACCTGTCTACTTATACTTATCCTGTCTACTTATGAATATTAGGTTAAGTGTAAGAAAGGGCCATGTGGCCCTAACTTTGCCTGAAAAAATATACGATTTTTCATTTCATTTCATTTTATCCTTCGCCCCCCTGTGGACTGGCCTATGGGTCGAGGTCCAGTCCAGTCCAAGGTAGACGGAGTCAGAAGACAGGTTCAGTCATACAGACTATAGGTTACAAATTCTTATCTTGAACATGTAAAGATAGATGTATTAGCCAAAGAAAACTGTTCCTGAGGTTGGTCTAATTTTATGAATAAATCCTATAACTAATTAATTCAGTGGATTCTTAACAGTTTACAGCTGTGATGGAATATGCTGTATTTCTTTTGATATCTCCCAATTCGTGTTGCTGCTATGTAACTTTTTGATTTACATCTTTTTTGTGACGGAAAAAACTTGCTATGTGAATAAATCCCAAGAGCTAATTTGCATAGCAAAGCTGCGTTTAAGACACCGCTGTGTTTAAGGTGAAGTGTATAAAGTATTACCTTCAAACGACTATCTTGTTGGAGACGTTTTCTAAGGTTGAGGAAACTTTTAGGATTAATTCTAACTGCTTTGGGATTTTTGTTTTCTAGGCTTATAAAGTTACTTATTTACACAAAGTTTAGAATGTTACGTTGAAAAACTTAAGAAGAGTGGCGCTATCTTTATTAAAAGTGATGAAGTTGGTTATTCCTCTGAGTCTTTATTTAAAACCTGATTTAGTTATAGTAATATCCATTTTAATATGGTAATATTCTTTTAATATTGTATGGAGCTGCATAAATAGTTCGATTTCATTAAATGTCATATATAACAGAAAACTCCATAACCAAATTATGTCACTGGCCAGAATTTTATACTAATAAACATAACATCAAATTAGGACTTTTTTATATTTGCAATAGTAAAACAAACCTGTTTACTTTCGTGCCAGTGGCGTCATTTGTTTATGTTAATTATTAATAGAGTTTTCGGCTCTACTATCCCTGGTTTAGACATCACGTTTATATTTTATTCGTTGTAATTATGCAAATAGATTAGTTTTACCTGAACTTTGATGTATATTCACTTGACTAAATTCTGCTATATTGAATTTAGAAAACGTTGGTTAAACTTAGATACTAGAATCCATTTTCATGTCTTCAGTGAGGTTTAGAACATTTGAGTCTATTGTCAAGTTTTCGATTGAAGCATGTCAACTGGAGCAAAGCCAAAACCAACTTTCTTCAATTAAAAGTCACTTGTATTGCTTGTTTCCCAGGGTACGTTAGAACAGTTTGTTTTATAACTTTATGAGTATTTGAAGTGCTTTTATGAATTTGGCATTTGGTATGAAAAGCTAACTTGGCATAGCATGATTTTTTAAAGTTTGTCATGTATTCATTTCTTAATTGCTTGATAATACACAAAATCAAAATAGTAGAGTTTTTAAAACAATGCTTTAACTTAACCTATACAGGGTGATTGATATAAGTGTGCCAGCCGTTTTATTCGAAAACTATAAGAGATATAAAAAAAAGTTAAATGGTAAGTGCCTTGGATTTTTTATTTAAAAAATTGTAGTCAAGTCAAAGAATTTATTTTAGCCGCCATTTTTTCAATATGGCCGCCAACTTTGATTTTTCTTACAAAACACCCTGTATTTTATGATGTATTCTGTTAGAAGATGTAATTTTAAGACGATTTTATTCTTGTGATTTTTTTCATAAACCTAACTGTTTCAAAGATATTAATGGTTTAAGTTTTCAAATTTCTGCATGAGAAAGAGTTTCGATAAAGGCCTAAGCAAGCATGCCAGCTGTTTTATTCGAAAACCATTCAAAATTTCACAAGTTACCTTTTAACTTTTTTTGATATCTCTTATGGTTTTCGAATGAAACGGCTGGTACACTTATATCAATCACCCTGTATATTTAATATTTCAAAAACCTTTACTAATTACAAACCTTTATCACAATATAAAAGTGGTTTCAATATCCAATAATAAATCAAAACAATGTTTAATTCAAAAGTATATACATATATACAGGCTTTATTGTTTATTAAACATTAAATATGTATCGTTACAAATGTACAAAATCAAATGAATGTATTGCGTCATATGTCCAGGATGCTGTCCTGATCTAGAGGTGACAGGTTGTCAGCTGTTACAGGACCTGGCAAGGAGTCGTCCAGGATCTCTGTGACGTCCTCCATCCTGCTGACAACAATATTCTTGGTTATTTATTTTCAATGGACAACTCAAATTATAATAATGCATACATTGGTAACAGTCTTATGACAGAATATGAAATAGCTAGAATCAAAAACTAGAGTACATAGCAGAAGAAGACAAGGCAAACATAGCAATTCAAACAAAAACAAGGATAATTAACAATTTTTAAGCTGATTAAAAAACTATGAGAAGGTTGCACGAATTGGCATAATCGACTATTGGAAATGCAGTGTGATAGAGAAATACATAAACATGGTAACAACAGACTCATAATGCGATATCCTATGCAGACATTTACTCAGGCAAAAAATCTACATTTATAATAATGACGAAACAAGTACATAGCTGATGATGACAAAGGAGCTGATTAAAATTTGGTCTTTATTTACAAGTAGTTAACACAACCATATTAAAATTTGAAAGACAATAAATAAGCATTAAATTGCGCTTTGAGTTGGTTTTACATTGTACGATTATATGGTTATAATTATATGGTATAATCATATTATAATTATATGGTTATATGGTTGTGAATTATATGGTGTTCAAAAAAGGCAGAGACATAATTTTACGTAGTGATTCCTTTGGTAAAAATTTGTCTGTATGTGTTTTGGCAAAAACATTAATAACTCTTAATTGATTCGAGCTAAATAAAAGCTTAAAATTTTGCAAACATTTATTTGCATCTTATTGGCCGTTAAATTTGTTCGAAATGTGAATAAGTCTTTTAAACCGTTTCAAAATATCGGCTATTTCAAATATTGTATGCCGAATTCCACGAAAACCGTGAATTTTACAAATAAATTACACGATACATAAACATTTGTAAATTTCTTGCAGATTTAAACGATAACTGATCAAGCTTGGTTTGGACAAAGAATAAGTAAGATATTAATTCCTTTCATGCTATACCTACAATTTCACCATTTAAAAATGTTAAAGCGTAATTTTAAAGTTGTAATTAAATTAATTAATTTGTGATATTTTGCGTATTTTTAATAATATTTTTTTTTTTATTATTTAGGTGAAGTGGCAGAACATCATAGCTATGGTAGATGTGTAATACTACAGTATACCGAACATTGAAAGAAGCAAATTTTATCAAACTGTGTCCTCCCCCATTGCAAACTCAATTAGCTTGAGTATAACTGCAATAAGCATTTTGTACTTATATGCCAACCCCGTACGAAGGACGGGTACTCTGCTAGTTATTGACCTAGTCTCAAACAAGCATAATCTTTGAAAAGAAACTGTTGTGTTTCAAATCCGAAAGGTGTTTTTTTTTCTTACAAGTACCCTCGTTTTATCTTCCATTATCTACAATAATATTCTACTGATATATGAATGACAGACTTCTCTGCTGAAAACACATTCTCGTATGCAAAATTGTTGAATCAAAGTATAAATTTTTTCTTTCACCATCTATAAAAAATTGGTCATAACTTTTAAAGCTATGGAATAGGCAGATGGAGGCCAATATTTTAATGGACTAAAGTGTTTTAGTAACGGGTTGGCTTTGGAAACCTCTATTATGTCCTTGCAAATACTCTATTATAAAATTTGATCAGTGAAATTCCTAAAATATTATAAGCAATCTAATCCTGTCATCTTACGATCCTGACTTTTTACGCTTGTAGCTAAATATGAAAAGGTTCTAGGTTTAGGTTCCATAAATGTAAGTTAATTAGTTAAATATATCTGTGTGTTACCTATCCTCGACACTGGGTGTTTGGCTGAGCAGCAGTCTACCAGAGTTTCGTCTGTACCATTGACTACGACAACTCATCAGTAAATAGCATGCTGCTAGCATGGACAGCTGTACTCCTGGAAACAAAAAATCAACTTAAAGGCTGATTATTGCCCTTTTATCCGTGTATCACTTACACCCACTTACACGCATACCCATGCGTGAATGCAAAAAATACAGAAAAATTACAGGTCTGAAATTTTACTTGAAGATAAATCATAAACTTTGCCACCAATGATACAAGCTGTAAGCTAAGAAAATCCCTTGGATTCGTTTTGGACGTTTAGAGAAGTAGCTTTTGGAAATAGATCCAAAATTGAATAGTCTCAATGACAAAACAAATTATTTCTGCACTTACTTTAACCACTGACTATTGGATACTGAAGAAGACATCCCATCTTTATGGACCAGCTGTTACCAATTTGTTTTATTAAAAACGAAAATAGTTGTGTGTGCCCGTCAAAGGATTCGCTAGTGTCTAAAGTTCTTCATACCTTATTTCTGTTGCTGACCAAATTGAAGGGTCATAACAGATGCAATAGCTGATAATAAATCATTCCATTATTTTGACTTGGCAAAAATTCCGTATACCTGACATAAATCAGTAATTTATACCAGCAGAATTTGTTGGTGGTTCACATAAACTACAAGGATTTGGATTTTAAAACTGGTGACAATTTTAACACGAAGTTGGAATGTCTAATTGTATCAATAATAACAGTCCTCACCCATTTACATTTGTACTGACTTTTATTTCAATAAAGTCGTTAGGAGGTATGTCCTGCTACGAAGCTGTTTGAATTAAACAAAAAAAACTTTGGGTAACTTAGAAGAAGTCCTAATATACTCTTCCTTCTATGATAAATCTACATAGGAATAAAGAACCACATTATTCTTTCCTGCGTCCTAAACTCGTTGCAAACCAGAGGTGAACTGCACAATCTAAACTAAAGTAATCATAACTTTATCTGGGAACTTTATTGTTATTAATGTTGTTCTTGTGTTTCTATTTCATACAGCTTGTGTAAGGTAGAACTCTCAATGATTTTTTTGTACATTTTAAACAACTGCGAGACAAATTAACCCTTCAGGCTCAATGTAATTCAGTAATTTCGTTACATATTTCTATGTTCTCCCTCATCTTTTAAAATAAAAATCCAAATTATTATCAAACCATTTTTTTGCTAACACAATGATTAAAGCTTAATTTATTGGTGATTCAATAAATCTAATATGCTTTCAAGGGGTTTTATTTAATTTTAATATTTATAAATTGAAATTATGATAATAAATCTCAAACATATTTGCACTTACGCGGCCAAATAGATTAAACTGACATTCCCAACTCGATATTATGAGATACAATGTTTTTGGAATGATACGTTTTGGTCTCATCAACCCCAAGTACAGTTGCAAAGTTTTTTTACAAGTTTTAGGAGTAGAGTATTCATTAAGTTTAAGTGTTTGAAGGTTAAAGTGTTTATATATCTATCTTTGAAATCTATACCCTACTTTCTTCAATCCTAAGGTCCTTCAGTATTGTAAGTGATGATTTTTACCTATTTTTCACGTCTTCCTAAATTGTTACGCTGTACAAAGAGTATCAGTTATTTTAAAACTAAGGTACGTTAATTTAAATCATGATATACAATATAGGCTACGCTTAGCCATTAGTTGTTATTAATTAAAATCAATCTCCCATTGGTCAAGTAGGGTGGTTGTCTTGGAATCGTGCAAGTTGGCTTCTCATTCAGTTTTAAATCTGTAGTTATTTTAGTGTGTTTAATCTCAATAACGTTTAGACAACCAATCCACAATCGTTGTCTGGATATTTCTCTGCTATTCCAGAGTATATTTTATTATGTGTGCTTCACTGTATGGTATAATACCAGAGGAGTAGGGATTGATTATAATTCAATAATTTTATCTCGTCAGGCCACGCACAATATAACAGAAATACAGTATATTAGTAGTGGAACCTCGATAACAAAATCCTCAATAACAAGAGTCATTTTAAAATCCCTTAGAACTTATTTTACCCTTGATAACATGTTATTGCAAACCTCGGTAACAAACAACCTTGATAACAAGTCTTATTTTATAATCCCCATGAGAGTCTTAGGCTATACGAACAAGAAACAGTGAACAAAAAATCGACCCTTTACATTAACCAGACAATCTTCAAACTGTCTTCATTTATTCCATAAGAATTATAAATCCACAAGGTAGGCCTATTAAGCTTAATCTATAGCCCAGGTAAGCTTGGGTTCACTCTGTTCCTAAATATTGTTAGATGAGTCACCTGCCACCAGAGACAGCCAGAGTCTGTGAGGACGCAGGAAGAGGACGACAGCGATGGCGGTGTAGAGGATGGACCTTTTCCACAGACCGCACCAGAGCACAACATCCCAGCACCTTAACACTGGGTGGTCTTCGTTCCTACGTGTAAACAAGAGGATGTACAGATTAAATTGAGAATAGCAGAGGAATAAGGGGACAACAGTAAAATAGTAGGGGAGCAAAAGTAGGTGTGGAACAGTAAGAGGGTGGAACACAGTTGAACTGAACTAATGTAGTTGAAGAGGTAGAAGAGGAGATTTTTGAAAAGGTAGGATAGAAAATAAAATATCAATATTACGTAAAAAAAAATTATTAGTGGAATAGTTGAATAAAAACGAAGGTGAGTAGTTTTTGTTGGATATTGGAATGTTAGAGTTATATTTAAATTTTTTTAACGAGAAATTATTTTAAAAGACATCTTTAGAATGGTGAAATTAACTACTTTAATGCTCTAACCTAGATGTTATAAATATTTCATGACATATTTTATATAATATTTTATCATAAATTATGAATAATGGATACGAACATTGACTTCACACTTTGAAATATAGACCATAGTTTAGTGGTATCTCCATAATTAACTATTATCTCTTTTATTTTTAGTTACAATGCATAATTAATATAATTTATAATGGTGATGCATAAAAGTTGCTATAGTATACAATAAGCTGCTTTTCCAGTGTATCATGGTTCAAAAGTTTTATGAGGAAAACACTGATATACTGGACAACACACTGAAGGGGGCAAATTTTTACGAAGTGCTTTTATACTTTAAATCTTGCATCAATTTAAATATGGAAATGGAAGCTCTATCTCTCGAAAGTGTATTTATGTTTTAGGATAATAAACTTGTAATCTAGAATTTTAAATGTTTTACTATTCGTACATCAGATTCATTAATGATTCCTCGTATGAAAATTACAAGAAAATAAGATTGGATAAAAAATTAGGAAAACAAATGGATCAATAACTACACAATATAAAATCAACCATAAACAAAAAAACTATCAGAGACGAGCTCATTTATATGACGTATTAACTAATCTTTGTCAATTTATAATGCAGCTTATCACATTATATTGCTAAAATACTACCCAAACTCTATTTATCAGAGAAAAAAGTGTATAGTAAAATAATAAATGTAAGAAAAATACAGAAAGCACGCGTTTGCAGAAAACCACACAAGACCCGTGCCTCTCAAACCCAACATGAATACTGAATCAGCGAACATGTATCTTCTCTGATGTGCTAATACTTGAATTCTTGATTTCACATTCACATCACTTCATCAAGTATACATTCTGTAGATAACTGCAGGTTTTAAATGGTCAGTAGGATGTATTTCAGCGTGATCTTTCAGTCAAAAAAATACTACGTAAATTTATTTATATATTTTGTGATGAATTAATGCTGGAGTTCTAAAGCTCACATTGTTATTACTTCATCAACTGAGCATTTTCACATGATGCTGACTTTTTAAAACCAACTTAGTTTAACTTAAACTAAAAAAAATGTGTGAGGACTGTACATTTTTGTTAATTTATGTCCTGTGACTTTTGAATTATCAACTCTTGATTTTATATTCACATAACTTCATTGATTTTTTATTTAAAACATGATATTTCATTTTAAATCTTAGGGGTCGAATAAGCTGCATATTCAGTCCTATTAATACACCGATGTATGTTTTAATTACAGTCATATCACTGCTTATTCTGTGTTGTATGAAAACTTAATTCCTTTATTTTCAGTACACTCTTATCTTCTAATATACATGAATACAGATAAGCTGGCTTTTTTTAACAAACTCTTCAATAGAACGTATTTCGTATACAAGTTGAATATAATAATTTAGTTGTGTATAGCCTATTACAACAGCTAAAATAACATTTCTGCAAAAAGCTAAATAATAACATCAGCCAGAGAATCTTTTGTCTTAGATTTTACAAGAAAAAATGTATGACATATGGAACATTTATTTCAAATATATTTTATAACACTAGTCCAAATTTTTTTCCACAGCAGACCAACTAAACACTTTCTGCAGTCCTTCCTACAGCCCGTCTATGTGCGTAATAAATGGCTTGCAATGTTTGTGTTTAATTAAACAATGAGTGAGAGTTTGTTTTCTCTGGCGAATACTTCTTTTCTGATTCACAAATGTTTCAGCATAGGATTTCTCAGGGATTTATACAAATTAAACACAACGTATAAAGTTAATAAAAAGATTAAGAGTAGAACAGAATCTTAGTAACAAATCGACTGCAGATTATTACGGAGATTTCCCATAAGAGTTAGTAAAAAAAATGTTCTTATTACGTTTCGGGATCTAGAATCTTATCTTTAATAATGTCCAAAACAATCAACTCAAAAAATAAAATTATCTCATGCCACAAAAAAGCAATGTTCAGGCAACGGGTGATATTATTTTATAAAAGCTGCATTTGAACGTTACTAAGCGAAACTTTTTCGTATGGTGCACGAATATTAGTACAGAAACTGTATGGAGCATAAACACAAACAAATAACCTCAATGACCTGGAGTAAACATGTTTTGAATTCATATTTAAAGGGAACTGTCTAAAAATTCCCAAACCCGCTGTTATGGCTATAGTTATAGTTAGAGTATGGACGTTTGGGCCAGTGACGAAATTTGTTTATGTTTATGGTTCATACCGTTTCTGTTCTAATATTCGTGGCATGACAGACTCCTTATTTCTATTATCATAAACAAATCAAAAGCATGCTTTTTTACACTATAATGCTTCTTGAGTAATCGAACCTCTTACCTTATACATACTTGTAGGAACAATGTGATTGCCCATGTGATTTCTAGGAGCAGCACAAGGAAGGAGGCAGCCCTACAGCAAAAAAGTTGTTTATTAAATCTTATATAACACTTGGTAAAATATCGTATCGTTATAAATAAATGTGTAACAACAATCCAACTGAATTTACTAAAATCCTCTACAATTTAAAGTGGTGGCGGCTCCTCTCTGTATACTGTGGTTTTGACAATTTTTGGGTCTCAATTTAGGAATTAAGTTATTAATGTTTTCGAAAATGCAATTTTTGAGAAGAGTAAAATAGGGTACGAGAAAGAATATAATAAAAAGTGTTTTGTAAGTCATACGAGGTAAATTAATTAGTGTAATCATTGAGTATACGTGCAATTGAAACTGAAAATACATGAGTCCCGAGAAGCCTGGAGGCAACACATTTCGAGATTGCTAGACTTTAGAATTCCACTCAAGGGTTTTAATTACAACCCAAGAGGAAAAACAAATGTGCGAGTCCTCGTAAGGGTTGTAAGTGGTCTGTTGAGATTAAATTAGATCATGCGTTGTCTGATCCTTGGATAAGGGAAGAAGATATTCAAAATTCTTGAAATTACTTATTTCTCAACGAAACAAAGATAATAGGGTAAGACCCTATGCATTGTATAAGTTTTGAATCAATAGTTTGAGAAGTAAGTGCATCGATTCTAAATAGTGTCTTGGCGCACATTGGCCTTACCTTTATCTATTTTTGTATCAACATGGTTTCGACGGCTGGATAGAAACTTTTGACTGAAATTATATTTCTTTTTGCTCAGCCTACATCTATATATACAATACCCCTGTCGAGTGAGTAAATTTTCCAATTTATTTTAATGAATGACAATCAAACAGTTTCAAATTTTAAAATGACTACCATTTTGGTTAGGAGTATCATATCGACCTCCAGATTGCACCATTTAATTTCTATTGATAACACCCTTTAAAGTAAGCTGTTACTCGATAGGGGCTTAAATTCGAAAATTTGGGGCTGCCCCCAAAATACCCCATTGTAGGTGCCAGCCAAGTTGTGACTTTGATGAAAAAGTGCAAACATGCGCCAAGATTTATTTTCCTACTGCAACGCGTTGAAAAGTTAACTGGGGGTGACCAGACTTTTGCCTAACCCTGTAATAGTATATTTCGTACCTAGGGCCGAAAATGAGGGTTTTCCGGCTCGAGATAGTTTTTAAGTTCGAGACGAAGTCGAGAACTTAAATCGATCGAGAGCTGCAAAACCATTTCGGTCCGTGGTACGAACGCTATTTTTCACCACACTATACTCTATTACCACTATTCACCACCATAATAATGCACACTGATAGTCAACACAACTACAACTTTAAGGTTATGTGAAGAAATAATTTGAGGAATCAGCAAAAATAAAAATAAATAGTTGCTAGGCAACGGTGACGATAACACAGTTCTATTGCAATGCTATGGATTTTGATTGTGTATTTAAAATGCATTAATGTTTTAAGTAAGTAAGCGGACAGCTGATTTTGCGGCCCCGGCCTGTAAAAACCTGCTCGGTCCCCAAATTACGATGACAGCTGGCATGGCCAGCAAAACGTAACTTTCAGCCACCAATTAACGTATGTAATACACCCAAAAACATCATAGTGTGGTGAAAAGATTATTTTGCAGAAGTATTATACTCACACAAATTGTACCCCTAGAGAACAAGTACATTTGAAAAATCATATAATTGTATTAAAATTGCACACTTATTTCATAGAATGATTATAGGGTAATTATGTAGGAGTGTATTATAGAAGCGTCATACTCACACCAAATATATCCCAAGGGAGTGCTGATGTATGGTTATATCCACTCCTACCCCGCACAACACTGCAACACAAAATACATTTTTAGGAAAATCACAGTCTTATATTAGGATATCTGTGTATTTTACACTTTTTAAAATAGTTTTTACATTTTTGCTTTGTAATTAAGGTTTGTCGTTTTTTGGTTTTACTCTGTTGATAAGAATTTTTAAGTAGCCCTATGGTATGTCGGTGTATTGAGTAGTTATAATTTTAGTTCATGAACCTGCCCTACGTTTTAACTACACGACGTTTAGGGAGGTTTGGAAACTCCTCCAGGGTAGTTAGGTAACAATAGTTAGTCCCTTGAAAACGGGAGGAGCTCCCTTACCTCCCGAAACGTCGTGTAGTTAAAACACTACTTATCGTAGGAAAAGATACGAGGCGAATATTCAATCGAAATACTGCAATATAAAATAGTCAATTAGACCCATTCGATTATCAAATATATATATACCCAAACGAATCCCAATAATCAATTTCGATGTTTTGAGATCACAATAATTCATCGGACTATTTCATCACTTTAATTACACGAGATTACTAATATATGAGTGTCAAGGAAGAGATGATTTAAACATTTAAACTGGATTCAAACGATTACAAATAGAAAACTAGATAACCTTGGTACAACACGAGGTCTGATGTCTTTAACCTATCCAATGTCCACCAGTTATCCACAGTTAACGGTATGAGGTGATGGTTGGGAGTGCTGTCGGGGGGGGGGGGGGGGGCAACACTATCTGAAAATCAAAATTGAATCTGCGGCTGTGACCAGTGCTCGTTACGTCGGCTTATTAAACCCTTGGCTTTTGGAATTACCTTTCATATCGTCCAGCTTTGTCAGCCGAAGCTCTTTAGTAATTTACTGGCTGAAACGTAAAACTCACAAAGTGGTTACTTTGATTGAGTATATGCTTTAAGCAGTTAATTACTTTAATCAAAGTTATGGGTGTATTTATAATAGTTCATCTCCAGTTTACTCCAACTGTAAAGATATATAACTTAATACATTATCTAATAGTTAATTTTGGATATTTAAAGTAGTTTTTTTTCACTACCGTTATCTTGAAAGATGATCACAATTTACGTCTTTGGTTAACAATTTTTACAAAAGTGGATTTTTTTTAGATTAGTGGTGTAATTTGTAGCAATATATTTTACGAAATGGACCAAAATTAGAATTTTAAGACCAAAAAAGAAGAGGAGGTTTTATAGTACAACAAATTATTAAGTCCTAATATTGCCTCAGTTTCCAAAGTAAAAATCTTCATGCCATAAAAAAACACTAAGCTGTGAAATGTAATAATGAAAATACAAGAAATGCAATAAACTAAAATAAATTGCTCCGCAAAGATTCTTATACAGTTTTGAATGATGATGAAATGTTTGATAACGATAAAGACAATTTGTGTTAATAACAGTAAGTCAATTTATGTTAATTAGTTGTTGAAACTTATTGAATATATGCTGGCTGAATAATGTTGGTAGTAAAATGTTATCCCTTTCTATACGGCCCTCACCAATCCACATGGTTTCCTATCAAAGAGTAGAATGTGAATTTAATTGTTTGTTTGTTACACTTTTAATAGTACTCTATGATAGGAAACGCCAATGATTTCATATCTATGAAAACCTTTTATAGTGTCCTTTAAGTGGATGTTTCATGTAAAAACATCTACTAATGTTTTATACTCTGCCCTTGGGCCAGATTAATGGTTATTGACTCCGGCTTGCAAAACACTATTTTTGTTCATCGAATTAAGTTTCAAATTCACCAGATAACTACCCTAGTCTGGTAAAATAGTTATTTGTGTTGCTAGCGTGCAAAGTGGCACTTAGCCACTCAAGAGAACTGTTTACGTTTAGGAATAGTTTCTCGGTTGCAGAAACGAAACTTTTTGCACGAAATCCACTTTGAGTCTTCCTACAGTTACCATTAAAAGTAATACTACATGTTCTGTTAATTACTTATCAGATAAGGTTTTTTATTTAAATCTTTAAACACAAATGTATTTTTAGAGTAGTAAAGTGTACAATTTTGTCTTATTCGGAATTGATTTTATTTATAAAATATATATTCTACAATATAATTTATTCAGATAACTGTTAGGATATTTGTTTGGAGTTATATGTTTAAAGGTTTGGCAAATCATTCCAGGCTAAACTTATGTTAACTCTTTTGGTATTTTACTGTAACCACTTTCAAAATAACCACCACTCCTAGCTGATCCAATCTACTCACGATTTTGTGTATTTATGCCTTAAATCTGGAATGCGGAAAAGTTAAAGAGTGCATGAATCAGATAAAAAAAATGTTTAAAGTAAAATTTTGAGAAATAAGTTGTTTTGTAAGTGAGACCTAATTTAAATGAAAAAATACTACTTTTTATGATAACAGGGGACAAGTAAATATTTTTATTACTGTTTAATAATGCGAAACTATTAATGGATATGTTTCCTTGTGAAAGACTTAGTTCAAAAAGTGTTTAAAACCTAGTTTTGTTAGCTGATCGCATTATAACATCAGTAGCGATTAATAATATCACAAAGAACTACCATACTTCTATTAGTGGGGGAGCTACGTATATCAAAACTGCAAATTGTGATAAGAAAACCCCTTTTGGTATGAATGTAGGTTATGGTCCGACAACTAAAATAAGATGGGGAGGCATTGCCTAAAGTTGTTATAATTCAAAATGGCGGCCATTTTTCAAAATGGCTGCCCGTATTTTGTGTTTACTTAGTTATTTACTAATAAAAGCTTGAAAATGGCATTAACACTATTAAATATTGGTATAATCTTATTTTGGAGATTCCGGCCTTTAATTTAATACCAAGTTTGTAATACATTACAATTATATCATCTCTATAATCTATGGCTGAAAATGTACTTGTGTTCAGCCAATTCTGAAGGTCACCAAAAAGCTGTTTATTTAAGAGTTAAGTTATTCACCTACAACGTTTTATTTACATAGTGTGTTTTCACATTTGCCTACATCCATTTCGAGACATAAGAAAAATAAAACTAATGTGAAATCACTGTAAAGAGAGCTTCTTCTTCCCCCTTGAGATATTTTTTCTATAAAAATATAAGAGGATAAAAATGTCAACAAAATTATGACACTTTCAATTATTTTTCTCAACCAGGTTGGTAATGCTAAATAGACAAATATTGCCAAACAGCTGATTCTACAGGTCATTGTTTTGTTTATTATTATGTATCGCTCACGTTCTGAGTGTAGTTTTTTTTAGGAAAACCTGTACAAATTTGGCCGTTGCAACCGGGCCTAACACGGTGCCAGTTCTGGGGGTTTTTATTTTTTTCTGATTCAAGTGAATGAAGATTAGACTCTAAAAATGGCAAGCCATTACACTTAGTTCCTCAGAGTGACTTGGGTAGATATTAACCAAAAGCTGTTGATTGGACCATTTTTATACTGTGCCAAAAGACAGATAATGATAGTTTGATTTGTTCTGCAAATAATAAAAGTGTAAATGCTTGTAGCACCGGATATGTAACGCTTGTCAAAAACTTCAGAACTTTGATGATATAAATGGTTTACCCGCCGATATTGATATAGATACAGGGTGTCTCAGACCACCCGGCCGGCTTGTATAGCTCCAATATGAAAGCAAATAGAAACCTAATTGCAACTGGAACCCCCTATTTTGACCCCAAGGAATTCAGCTAAATTATTTTCAACCCCAAAAAAGCACCCCAAAGGGAATATTTTGGGGGGTGGGGGTGGTTTTTGGGAAATTTTCAAATGTAAAGGGGGGTCGTGTTATACCTCTTTTTAAAGGTCCTTTAGTCCTGAGTATTTTAGTGGAAAAAGATTTAAATTATCTTCATCCCTATTTACAGGGTGTTCAAAAACTTACAAAAAATAGACCTTTGAACTACTTTTCACTGTAAAGAGGTGGAATTTCGTGGGGGGTTCAAATTTTGATAACACTTTAATTGCTAAATGAGCTTTCAAAAAACTCTGGTTTTAACCCTTTTGCTATCTTTTTACTTATGTTACGCATTTTCAAACTTTTTGAAGTTTCAAAAGCTGTTATCTCAAAAATTTCAAATGGCAACATCGGTTTCATTACAAACCACATTGTAGCCCTTAAAATTTGCTATAATTTTTGTATTTAATGTTTTTTAGTATCTTCATTGGTTAAAGAGATATAACGAAATTAGTGTATTTTAATGTTTTATTAAATGGTATTCAAAGTGTTTGCTGTTGCAAATGTAAACCTGTAGGTCTCAATTAAAACAATTCTTGTCTAAAAAAATAAAATAGTACTCAGATTGTTGATCTTGGAAGATTGATAAAGGTAAGAACACAACTGCAAATATTCTTAGTTATTTTACAATTCCATGGCTCTATTAGTGCTTTGAATGAATAATTTGTTTGAATCAGCATTAATAGCCTACATACCGATGGACTTCTACAAATGCTTAAATTGCCTTCCATTTTGTTCCATGCAAACACCAACTCTGTTTATGCACGTAGTACTTCTTCTCCACTATTATGGTACTGTATTGCTATTTTACTACCGCAGGTGCATTCACCTCTCGTAGAGATCCAGTAAGTTCCTTATAATTTGTTTTATCTGATCAAACGTGACCAGTTTCACGCACACGCTCATTGATTTCATGATGATTTTTTTTTTATTTACCAGTAGCATTTATAGACAGTATTAATTCAAAGCACTATTAGAATTTTGTAAATTGTAAAATAACTAAGAATATTTGCAGTTGTGTTTTTTCCTTTATTAATCCTCCAAGTTTAACAATCTGGGTAATATTTAAATTTTTAAAACATAATTAGTTTTAATTGAGACCTAGACGTGTACATTTACACACACTTGCAAACACTTTGAATACCATTTAATAAAACATTAAAATACACTAATTTTGCTATATCTCTTTAACCAATGAAGATACCAAAAAACATTAAATACAAAAATTATAGCAAACTTCAAGGGCTACAATGTGGTTTGTAATGAAACCGATGTTGCCATTTGAAA